ATTGGGAATTGTTTTAAGATTATCGGGAATTGTTATAAGATTATTGGGAATATCAACTAGTGCATGGGGGTTATTTGATAATTGGCAAAACGTGGGGAAAATTCATATTTGTTTATTGGTCCTCATGAAATAATTTGTCTTCTCCCCAGGGATTTTAGCGTGTTTTCCTATTTTCAAAATTTCCCTCATGTGGAGGTGAGGTGTTTGTCTTCCGGGTCAGTCATGTCCCCGTTGAGCTTTCTCAAGATAGATGCTGCGGAAGCCGCGTTGAATGAATCCCGGACTGCCAAATGGAAATTGGCACTAGCACTCGGTGTTCCGTTTGTGGCTGTTCTCGGGGCGTGTTATTACTGGAGTCGCAGCGACTCGAAAAAGCAGTATGCCAAGAAACTTAGAAAAGCCGTGGACGACTCAAACAAACTGCATTTTCCGGCTCCCGGGAATGATTCGGCCTCGAAGGTAAATTTCTCCTTTTTCGTCGAATGCAATATTCGCGCTAATTTTTGGAAATTATGCGCGTAAAATATAATTATGATAGTTTTTCCCCGTTCCAGTGAGAGAGAAATGGTACCGAAGCCATCTTCGGATGATGTCGGATTTGCTCCCTTTATTTTACAGAAAAATTGAATTACGGTAATGAAATGCTGTTTACAATTGTTTACAAGTATTCATGCGTATCATCCAGTGGACCTCGTAGTCTCACATAATTTCCTTATTTATTTCTCCGCAAGATATATTGAATCACAGTCGGTTTTCGTTTAGCGAACAACTTTTGACGCTTGGTTTGTTCTGTTTTTTTGTGCTTTCGAAGGTTTCTGGTCCAGATTTGGCGGAAGCTGTGTCACGTCGTGGAAATACATTGTATCGTTCGGGAATGTACGCAGAAGCGTTGGAAGAGTTCACGAAAGCCATTGATATGTGTCCACATTCCGCAAAGCGAGACCTTGCTATTCTCTACAGAAACAGAGCGTCTTGCTACGAACAATTGGTGATTATTTCCGTTCTCTGTAAACAAAAAAAATGATAATAATACAAGTGAACCTTGATAATTCAAACCTCCGTAAGTCGAAAAACCCCCTATGTTGAATTTTTTTCAGGACCCCATCTGAATCCTCTTAAAAACAATACAGTGAAAGTTGCGGACGTGATTGGTGCATCAAGAGTGTCTCTAAGTCAAGTCTCATTTTCCCTTAGACTTACATTTTATAATTGTAATTGGTGTTTTATGGACAAAATACTCACCATAATTCCATGAAAATAGAAAAATGGTCTGCCAATCAAAACTGATTCAATCAATATCTTTCAACTCAATAAGGATATTTGGAGCATTGATCACTGTACCTCTGTACAGTACATTCAGATGTTGATTTTCTCCATAAAA